AACAGACAAAATCAAAGTAACTCATCTAGGGACGTCCTGCGGGCACATTTAGCAGTGTGATGGAGCCAGGGTCAGCCACTCCTTCAGGTTGTTTCAAGCAGCACGGGCTGGCAGGAGGGTATTTCAAACACACTCAGCAAACCTGGTTCTGCAAAGAACCCGCTGCTGTCCACTCTGATTTCACTGCTGAAGGTCAGCAAAGGGGGGGTGGGCTCCTGGCTGCACCGTGACGGCCAGGCAGCCCCTCGTGTGCTCCAGGGTTTGGCAACTCTGACACGAAGCCTCGCTCAAGCCTCTGTCCCCTTCCTGCTTTGCTGCAAGGATGTCTCATAAGCAGTGCCCAGGTGACTGTGCCCTTTCCTGTGGTTTCCTCTCCTGCTCACTCCCCCATGCCTGCCAGTGCAGGGGATGGAACCTGGAGAGCACAGTACAGCCCGAGGGAGGGAAGGGAAACAGCTCATGCAGAGAGGAACAGCAGATGTTGCTGCATTGCACAGTGGAGCATCATTTCTCCTCTCCTCAGAATTCACTCTGAATCCACAGGCGTTCCAGGGGAAGGTCTGGAATGGTGTCCCCTGGACAGTGTGGCATTCACCACGTGTCAGTTGTTTTACTGGACTGAGATAGAAGGTAGATTTTTAAAGTGAAAGATGCAGCTCCTTGCAGCGATCCCCCTCCATCTGACAAGGTGACCTACACCCAGCGCTGGTGCTGATGTGCTTGGGCAGGTTTTGCAGTGTCCTTTGGCATGCTCTGATGTGCAGGCACCGAGCTGTGAACACACACAGGAGCTGGGCCTCCCCGTGCCTTGTGACAAACCCAAGTATTAATTTCCCTTTGCTTGTTTCCCTTTCTCCAGTGCCTCTGCCTTGCCCCCGACCTGTGCCATGGCTGCTGATTAAGAAAATGGCTTTGAAGGAGCAGGTTTCTCTTTTTCCTCCCTGGGGAAAGGAGGGTAAAGAGCTTTCACAGAAGGGCAGATCGATAGTCCTGCAGAGCCTGCTTCTCTATTATCCTCAGGGCTCTTTGCTGCCCCAGGGCTGAGGGTCCCACGTGGGGAACCCCCAAATGCTGCTGTGCTGGGCGAGGGCCGTGCCTTTGGCCTTGCTTGCAGGGGCTTGGATCCCTGCACACCCTAATTAATGCCAATTAGTTGCTGACCAGATAATAGGTCTGTATTTAATTGGTGGTTGAAAAATACTTTGCTGAGCAGCCCTGGGGGGCGATGGTTACTGGGCCATGTGCTTGCCATGGGCAGTGCTTAGCTCGGCCTCTGGGAGGAAGCAGGGCTGGTTGAAGAGGCAAATTAATCAACGTGACTGCCCACCAGAGGAAAACTGGAGAGAAATGGATTATTTCTTATGGAAGGGAAAAACGTAGAGTTCCCATAAAAATACAAGGAATCTGAAATAATTCATAGCCGTAATGTGTGTGTGGGGGGAGGGTGAGCTTCCTCTGGGCAGGGAGGTTGGATGGGAAACTCAATTCCTCCCTCGGCTGCGGGGCTGTGGGTGCCTCCTGTGCTGGCTCAGGGTGTGTGCAGGGTCAGGCTGTGAGTGCTGGGAGGGGAATGCCTGTGCAGGTGGCATGGGAACATCTCAAGAACCAGCCTGAGACATCATCCGAGTGTTTCCTTCCCAGCCAGCGTCAGCTCGGCACGTTCATTCATTTGTGCTGATCTTCTGCATCCAGAGGCACCGTCCGAGGCAGCACAGCATGTCCAGAGCCTTTCCAGGGAGGAATCAGCTCCAGTCTGTGCTCTGCTTTGTTCTGTGGCTGCAGTAACCTCTCCTTCTTTGGAGAATAAGATGTTAAAGAGCTTTTGAAAATGATCAAACCCTTCAGCTTCACTACTGTGATTAATCAATCACAGCTGCTGCTTTACAGCTCCTTGTTTTGATGTGTTTCAGGTTGTTCCAAAGTTAGCCCAGCTCAGGGCCAGGAAACACATTCCTGAGCCCTGCAGGGTGCTGGGATGGAGCAAAAGCTGAATTTTCAACATTATTTCCAACAGTTTTTGTGTCGATGCTGCCATTCATTACCAGGGAGCATGGGATGCTCCTAGGAATTACATAATCCTAAAAAAAAAAAAAATATGAGGAAGAGATTTAAGAACTATCTCTTCTCTGGATGGCAGCTGCATCATTGCAAATATTGTCTGATCTGCCCTTCTTAGCACTGAAGTATCTGAGACTCCAGGTGGCAGCTCTAAGGAGTTTGTGTCAGTTTTGGAGGTTTAGTTAAATGTTCCTTAGCACTTGGTTTTTTACAGCTAAAGAGTCAAGCAGGATCACGAAGCATCACAGCTCAGATAGTTTGTAAAACTGCTGTCAAGCTGATTAAGCTGGAAATGGAAAATTTGTTGGTGAAGTCTTTTCTCTTCCAATATTTGTGTGATAGAGGGTGATTTAAAGTCCCTTTCACCACTGAGGTGAGGCCCCAGGTAACTGGTACCAAAAGAGCAGTGGTGTAGCTGAACCTGCTGCACAGCACAAACAAAACCCCTGAGACAAAGTGTATTTACTCTGTCTGCAAAGTATATTTAATAGAAACAAATCAAACTACACGGACTCACTTCTTGAAGGTCCTGCCAACAACCCCTTAGTCCCTCTGAGCCATGGCTGGACTGCAGAGCTCTCACAGGCCCCAGGCCATCTCCCCTCCCCTGCAGAGACCCAGCACCCTCATCCCTGCTGAGGGATGTTATGGGGATGGAGGGAGGTGGAGCAGAGCCAGATTAACTGCCTTTGTCCTGGTTGTTTGCACAGCTGTACACCTGGAAATGTCACCTCGCAGGGCTCGAAGCACAGCGTCTCTCTCCGTTTCTTACCTCACCTGCAAGGCTCATCTGCTGGCAAATGAGGTGCCTGCTAATTCAGCAGAGCTGGGATAGAAACCCCCCCTGGTACCAGCCAGTCCTTTGCAGGCAGAAAGGAGGGCATGGAGATGACATTGCTGCTGCAGGTGTGTGCTGGCAGAGGGAGGGTGTATGGGAGTGTGCTCACCTCTGGCTCCCAGGGCTGTCAGTTTGAATTCTCAAGTGGTTTTGCCTGGGGATATTGTGCATAAAGATAAGGGAAATGCACTCTCTTTCCAGATTCAGCTGTTACTGGATGTCAGA